CATCGTTTCCATTTCTTCTCTCGCCTTGTCAGGGAAAAAATTATCCTGCTCTCCATCGTTTTGCTCTTCGTCCTCCAATTTACGTTTCTTGGTTCTGCGCGACATTGTACCTGCAACAAGCAACGGAATTTGGAATTGGAAAACAGACTGCAATATGAAAATTGCTAATTGAGATGAACGTAATAATAATTTCAATTCATTAATCCGTTTACATTTTAAAAAGTAATATTTCCTCAATTAATATTTGTACTATCAGATGTAAAATTATTAATGTGTCCTCGACCTGCATTCTTTCTTATCTCGAGACACAATCTTGTAACAATAATTAGTTAAATAATTAACAAACGTACAACATTGTGAAATATCAAAGAAATTCATTACTATCGGTAGACATTATAAATTTGATGAGCTGCTCTCCACACGACGATATTAATTAGTAGAATCACGTGTGTATTTAAATGCGCGCGTCTTTCTCATATCGCCACTTTGTGCATAATCATTATTGCCATTCGTGACATCGTCCGTGCGGAACAAACGGTAGTGAGATTTGGTAAGTATTGCTTTTGTACGAAGATCATTTATCTTTGAAAAAACTCAACCTTGTCATTGCTCGCGAAGGTTTTGCCGCTAAAAACGCGTTCAGTGTCCATCTGTCAACATTTTTGATCGTCTTATAGATGTTTGCATCATAACGAGCAATGTGTATTACGCAACAGACAAGAATCTATAATTTCCAGGTATAAATATGTAAATCTCAGCAATGTCTTCGACGACGCGCAAACGTGTTTTTGATAAAATTGTTAGTAGAGTTTCAAGTTTTTTTGAACTAAGAATCTGAACGAATAAATGAATATATAAATAGTCGTGAAGAGCCGTTCGCTGGATGTTATGCGGAAAATATGTCTATATATATACAGGGTGTCCCAGAATTGGTTTAACATCTCTCGTAGACAGGTAGAAGGAATAAAACTGAGGTGCAAAGTCTTATACCATTTTGCTAGATTCGCAATAGTTACCGAGATTTTAATTAACAAAGATCCGCGGATAAGCGTGCATCGGGCTGTCTTACGCGCGTAGAACAGCCCGGCGCGTTTTGCACACTTACATTTTAATATGTATATGTTATAGTATATGCTGTTATATTAGCTCATCACATATGTTGCTACGAGTAACACCGTTAGCGCGCGAAGCGCACTAGGCAGTCTTACGCGCGTAAGACAGCCCGATGCATGCTTATTCGCGGATCTTTGTTAATTAAAATCTCAGTAACTATTGCGAATCTAGCAAAATGGTATAGGACTTTTCACCTCAGTTTTATTCCTTCTACCTGCCTACGAGAGATGTTAAACCAATTCTGGGACACCCTGTATATGTGCGTGTACACACATATAAACGAATTCACGTTTTCACGTGTTTTTGAATTGAAATTTCAATTCATAAAATCATACAGGATGCTATACTTGTATCTCATGTATGAAGGACCCCGTATACCCCCCGAACTAATTTAAAAAAATTGCGAAAAAATATATATAATAGACATATTTTCCGCATAACATCCAGCAAACGGCTCTTCACGACTATTTATATATTCATTTATTTGTTTAAAAAGACGTCAGAGCCCGAGATTAATTCTCAGTCATTCGTTAATTGTTAAAAATCTGAACTCTCCTTTAAAGGAGACACACATGACTTGTTTATTCACTCGTGATCTCATAAATAATGAATTAATTAATTCCTAGTGCATAATTTCTTCCACGTCATCAAAACAGTTTGATATCAATCGAAACGCGCGGATAAATTGTCATTTGTTTATTGAATAAATTGCATTTCGATTACAAACGCGCGCATTCTTTGTTTTGCCTTCTTGCTCGTCTTACAAAATCGCGTGAACTTCGAAGGAACATTTTGGTCAAGGTGCCACAATCATTCTTGCGTGAGGCAAATTGCTGAACATCAATAAAGATAACACGAATGTTTGCCTTGTAATTACGTGGAGACGATCCATTAGAGAAACGGAGCACGATCACTTCTGCAGAATATATGTGCGCGAAGAGAACAAATTTTTAATTATTTTAAATTTCGTCTCAACTCTCTGACAGCGATTGCAAACTCAGAGTCATTATTGATAATCTGTAGCATATAACAAGATTTTTTTCAAAATTATTATTATTTTTTTTAACGTGTCTAATTAAAAAATTAAATTGGTATCGAAATAAGAGGCGTTACTGAACAAGTTGCCAGGTACATCTGCATACAATACATCTGCATTCTAACTGGCAACTTGTTCAGTAACGCCTCTTATTTCGATACCAATTATTTATTTCTGAACCGGAGGTCAACTTGACACACAAATTCTTTTTAAAAAATTAAAAATGAGTTTGTTCGGCGGAGACTGAATACGCAAAAAACAAATTGTGACGGAAATTCTACGGAATTACTTGTCGATATGATAGTTTCATCGCTTCCTTAATATTTTTTATACACCTTGCAATTTTCTTGCATTATATAATAATGATAAAATTTAATTGAAAGAGGTTGAAAATCTCTTGATTGAAAATTTGTTAAAGTTTTTTAATTAATTGTTAAAGTACGCGATAAAAATTACCCTATTAATGGAAAAAACATCTCTCATCGAAGAGAGAACAATGCAGAGTGAAAAAAATTCACGTTGCTGCATAGACGCGTAAAGTAGTGCTTATTTACGCTTTTACTAATGTCATCTTTACTCAAAGATAGTAATCGAATAAAGAAAATAACGCGCTATGTGTTCTCTTCGTTGTTACACGCGAAGTTTAAAATGTATACATACAGCAGTTCGTAATCGCATAATCGACACGCGCTCTAACATGCGCCCATCAATTCATCTTTTGCTTTTGCACCCAGTGATATCATACGGCTCCCGATGCGCGTCGATTATAAATACGATTATAATTGTAACAATGATAAATTTTATTTACTCGAGCTTTGTAAGTAACGTCTGGGAATGCCACAACTTGCATCTTGCAATCGCCTTTCGAACAAAGTGCCAGTTAAGGGACGAAAACACAGGGTGGTTTTTCGCGTGATCGTTTAACATGCGATTCGCGTTCGAGATATCGCCGATCAAATAAACGGTAATGTCCACTTGATGTTTCATTTTCCTCGAACGATGTTTCTCCACAAATACACCGTCCTCGTTTATTTTATTTATGCCGCGTTTGTGAACTACGTGGCCGTAACATTGAAGACGATTCGAAACACAATTATACAAATAGACAATTTGGTTGCATTGTTCGAAGTATCGAGGAAAACGTGTCGCTCTGTTTTATATCATGAACAAAATATTCAGCGCACGCAAAAAAAATCGCATATTCGTCAGATAAGCCGCGATCGCACGTTATTTTATGGCTATGGCTTAACACTAGATTTACCAGACCAGTCATTTTGACTGGTCGTGCAATTTCAATTCAAAATTCCTACTGCATGTAACATTTGCTTTTCGAAATGATGTTATGACTTTTGTAGCTATAAGTAGAGAATACATTTTATGAACTTAATGTTACTTTATATATATATTCGTAACAAATATATTTTTTCTATTTTTTAATAGGTATATTTCAATAGCTGGTATATCTAGTGTTAAGGGCCTCCGCACAAACTCTTTCTTAACACGTTACATTACGTTAAGTTGGCTGTGAACTTAGATTTGTACGTAAACTTGAACGTCATTCAACGAACAAACTAATATTTAACGTAACATAACGTTAATTACTAGTCATAAACTTAGATTTGTATGTAAACTTGAACTTTATTCAACGCACAAACTAGTACTTAACGTAACGCAACGCGTAAGAAAGAGTTTGTGCGGATGCCCTAACGCGTGTAACTATGACTTAACGTTTGTAACGTCGTTCTTCTCACGTCAATAAAAGTAACATTTACCGTTTAAAAGAAAATAAAATTAATGAATGAATTAAATTCGGGTTGTTTGAGCCGTTTTGCAGGATGTTGTGCAGAGAATGTGTTTAAATATATATATAGACATACACATATATTTAACGAAATAATTTTTTTTTGAAAATAAAATTAGTTCTGACAATTTTTTTTACTAATAACACGTACACGGATAGTTCAAAGTTAAATTTAGATAAAACTATAAGCAATAATTATTGACAACGAGATATCTCTTTTTATTAATATTTGTTTAATAAGACTTTATTAACAAATATCTTTTAGTAAACACAAAAGTTATGTTTAACTTTTACTTCTGTATTCTTTTTTTTATCTCATTTCGTTTTTGGTTTTTTGAAAAGAAATGCCAATTTCTTAAGATCAAAAATTCTCCAGAAGAGTAAAAATAAAAAGGAACAATGTGTGGAATCTTTCCATGACAACGTCAATTTGCGACCATATCACAACGTCTTGTTAGTGTGAAAAAACATTGGAACAATAAACGTCCATTTATCTATGAAAGATCGAGGACGCACGCGCGCGTATATGAGCAACGTGTAAGAGCTAAAAGCGATGTAAAAGCGTCGTCGTAATCGCCGAAGTTGGTAAGGTGCTCGCCGCTATTGTTACGCTTCAGTCAACTGTCAGCCGTCCTAGGAAATACAGTTTGTAAAAGTCCTGTGTGCGACAAGGTCGTATCTTTTTAATCAGACAACGATGTTGTCTGACAAAACTCGCAGGCGACTCAACATCACGAGTCATGAAATAAAAAATTAATACTTGTCACAGACAGAGGGTACCGTTCAATTACAATTAGAGAAAACATTCGCGGGGGATTGTTTTGCAACAAGCTATTTCATCAAGGCAATAGCCATAAAAGAATATAATTTTTATTAGTTTTTTTTTGTTAAATAATGAAATAGACTCGAATGTTTTATCGAGATAAAAATAAAACAATTGCGCTGGTGTGCGAGCAATTGATAATTTTGCTTGAACTTGACACGAAAACATTTGCATAAGTAAGAAATATAATTGACAAACAAACGCGGCTATAATCGCGGTGGATTGGCAATGATCGCGAGAGATGGAGGATTTATCGTTGCGGGAGCGCGGTAAAACGAAATCGAATTTCAATCCGTGGAACGATGCGCGAATATTGACGCACGTTATCGCGAACAACGGCAGAACGGTCGATCTTTCTCATTTGAGAATCAATGAGACAGACGCGATGCCGACGCGATCCTACGACCGCAACACCGTCGACGTTGCCAACGAAAATTACTACAACACCAGCGACAAACCGCCATCGTTTGATTATCTGAAGATCGCCAATCCCGTTTTGCCGTATTCCATCAATACGGTGCACCTGCAAAATCCGTACAGGCCGCTTCAGCGATTGGAGGGATTTGTGTCCCGCGATAACACAAAGGTACGATTTTTTAACATTTTTTTTAAATGGAAAATCATCTTCTCGCGAAGAAATTATCTTCAAGCATTTTTCAACGAGCAAAAACGTGTTTAGGGTATGTACAAATCGCAAGATTTTGTTCTAAGATCGAGGTATAACAATTTGTTTCCAAAGAAAGAACTAAATCCAAACAGAGACAGCGATCACGAGAATGAGAAAGTCGAGAGGTAAAAACCGGCAAATTTCTCGCATCTTAAATGTCTACTGATTCATATCTACATATTTATTGGTTTTCCTTTTTTTTTTTTTTTATAGACTGAAAAAGAAGAAACCTCAAGTAGTCAACGAATTTTACAACTTGCTTCGGCAGTACTGCGCGAACACCAGTCTTCACGGATTGCGTTATGTCGGTGACTCGGAGTTGTCGCTCGTGGAAAGGTATATAATAAATTCGTACGCAAGGGTATAAAACACCTGATAGAAAGATGTTTTCAATATTTCGACGACTGTTTAAAATCACAAAATAATTGGATATCTTTCGAGACATTTTAAAAATCGACATTTGACACATCAAAAATGCATTTTTGCAGAATATTTTGGATAATATCGTTCATCACCGTGCTGGCAACGGCGATATATTATAGCTGTTACCTTTACGACAAGTGGCACGGAGCTCCGATTATTATTTCTCTGAGTCCCGAACCGATAGCTCTTAATGAATTTCCATTTCCGTCCGTAACAATATGCAATATGAACAAAGTCAGGAAGACCGAAGCGATGCGAATCGAGCGTGGGTAAAGACTCTCTTTGTACATAATTAACATTAGGAACAGTTGATTCTAAATAAAACAGAAGAGTGAATAAAATTAATTACTCATATGTATACATATATATGTCCGACAATTAGTGTAAAATCTCTCGTAGGCAGGTAGAAGGAATAAAACTGAGTCGAAAAGTCCTGAACCATTTTTTTCTATTACATATAATAAAGGAGTAATTATTGAATAAATCAAGCCAATCAGCGCCGATCTTTAGCCGGGCGCACGTCAGTGAACCGCGCGGAGCGCTCACGCACACCAGGCGCTACGGCGCGACAGACTGGGCTGTCCTTACGCTGGATGCACGCTAATTAGCGGATCTTTATTAATTAATATTTTGTTAATTATTGCGAATCTTGCAAAGTAGTATAGAACTTTTTGTCTTAGAATAACCCCTTCTATCTACCTATGAGCGGTTAGACGACAATTATGGGACACCCTGTATATATATTTTTCGCGTATTCTGTGATTTCTTAAACTAGATCCGATATGCGGGAAAAATTGTTGATGGAAGACGTCTGCAACACGGAAAATAACATAACTTACGAAGAGCAAGAGGCTATCGAATGGGACGCGGTGTTCCAGTTCATGCTCAATGTAATTACTTCGAATTAAATTAAAACTGTCTTACTAAGCTAACATATAATAAGCTGCACATGTAATGTACCTAGATTTGTTTAGTAAACTACCCTAATAGGCACATTTGTGAAAATATTGCACAAAAATGGCATCATGAATGGCGACGATTTTGCAATGATTGCACTAAGATGATTCGCCATAACGCACCATGGCGAAAATTTTATTTCGACAGTTTTGTCGAAATAAAATTTTGTAAATAATATTTGTCAAAAATTGCGAAAAAGTCGTTATGCACTTCCACAGTATATATACCTCCAATAGACAAATTGTGAAAATATTGCACAAATATGACATCATGAGTGACGACGATTTCTTGCATTTCTTCATGTGCAATCATATTTCTACATATTTTAAACATCACATAGCTGAATTTCTTTTCTCAATTATTGGACAATTTCTTTGTGAAATTAATTTTGCAAATATACTGCTAGGATAATTCGCCATATCGTTATTCTTTTGCCGAAATAATATTTGAAAAGCAATTTTACAAACAACTACAAATATTTCAGAAAAGATCAATGTTTTTACATCTATTTCCTAAAATATGTCTGTATAATTGCAAATTACAATTTTAGTGCAAGATTTCGTCACATAATTTTGTAAACGGTTTCCTATCAGGGTAAGTGAAGAAATACATAATTAATATTTTTGATCATAGACAGTAAACTTAAACGCTTGTTTGGACGATTGAGATTATTTTATCTCGAACAGTTTCATTCTAGTTTTTTTTTATGCGTCATTTTGTTCAGGTATCTCAACCGTGCACAGATATGTTATATTATTGCGTTTGGCACGGGAACCAGACCGACTGCGAAAAGATTTTTAATCCTACTCTGACCGACGAGGGCATGTGCTGCAATTTCAACGCGGTGGACAAAAAGTATCTCTTCTATAACGCGTAAGTAACAAAAAAAAATCTCTTCGTTAATTCAAAAGTATAGTAAAAATACGAGAAATGAATTTTGTTGTATTTTTACAATCAAATGATCAGCTTTCAACCGCTGAGGAGAACTTTGCATTTACGTTTTATGTTAAACGATATATTTCAGACGCGATTGGCCGATATTGAATATATCTTATCCATCAGAAAGCGTCGATTGGAACGCTGAAAAAGGATATACATCGAGCATGATGCCGGATGTCGTACCGTGGCGACCGTACGGCGCTGGTCTCTATTACGGTTTGACTTTGGTTCTCGACGTAGACGTGAACGAGTATTATTGCTCGACGACCGCTGGCGCAGGCTTCAAAGTGCGTTACAAAAATCTTTTTCCATTTTTTTCTCACATCCCAATTTTATAGCAAACAAATGTTTTACACAATGTTTCTATCAGCGTCTAGGAAAAGCAACAATCAATTGTGAATAATGTACTTTTCTCGTGTTAAAATTGATTTAATTTCACAAAAGTATTTCAGATGTATCAAATGGATTTGAAATTTTTCATAAAACGATGCGAATTTACTTTTTATAACAATTTACATATTAAACGGTCGAGGGTTGGTTCCGCAGATGTTGCTTCACAGTCCCGTCGAGACACCGAAGATCGCCGATTTTTCGTTCGCGATTACCCCGGGTGAGGAGACCCGGGTGATCATAAGACCACGGATATCGACCGCCAATCCGACAATAGTGTCCATACCGCAGAGGAAACGGAAGTGCTTTTTCTCGGCTGAGAGGAAGCTGCGTTACTACCGCACGTACACGCAACGGAACTGTATCTTGGAGTGCGAGGCGAATTTCACGCAGCAGATGTGCCACTGCGTGCAGTATTACATGCCAAGTAATTGTCATTAGTCCAAATTTGCGATAATAGTTTGATAAATACACACGATAACAACCATTGACACTGATTGATTACGTGAATCAAGAAAGAGTAGATTTATTTTTGCAATATTTACTATGTATTTGCTGTTTCTGTTTACAGAATCGAAGAATACGCCAATTTGCAGCAAGAAGGACGAACAGTGCGCCAAGCTTGCCAGACGCACGATGGAAAATAAACTCTACGACGAAACGGAAGGAAATCCGTTGAATGTCACAATGTAAGTTTCGTCTTTTTTTTAAATCAGAATTCATCCATTTTTTTTTCTTTTTTTTTTGATAAGAGAACAAAATGTTCACGAGCTTTTATTTATGTCGCAGACCGAGTTGTAACTGCTGGCCTGGCTGCTACGAGATCAATTACAGACTAGAGCTTTCGCAGAACAAACTGTTATCGTCTTTCAATACTGAAAAAAGATACGTGAAGAAGGATCTGAAGTATTTCACGTAATTAAAATCGATACTTAATAATGATATTAACTGTAGCGTTAATTATTTTTAAGCGAAGAAAGAGAACTTGCAGCTGATTCTGCAAGATACAAGGTGTTAACATACAAAGATGTTTTTTCGTGTTTGAACCGCGTTAGTGTCATTTTTACTTTTTTTATAAGGTATAAAAATGACACTAACGCGATTCAAACCCGAAAAAACATCTTTGTATGTTGATACTACACACTGCGAAAGCATCAAATATCAGATACAAGGTGTTCTCGAGAGAGAGGATTGTATCAAATGGTTTTTTCTTTGAAGTATTGTATGTATGTGCTTCTCTAACGCTCGAAATTTTTCCGCAGAAAAAATATAGCAGTGGTGCATTTGTTTTTTGTGGATTCCCAATTCACAAAGTACGTGAAGAACGAGCTCTTTGGATTTATCGACTTTCTATGTGAGTACATTATCCGACTCGACGTCTGGAAAAGAATCATAAATACAAATTTACAGCGAGTACTGGTGGCTTGCTGGGTCTCTTCATGGGCTTCAGCTTTCTCTCGGTCATGGAAATCGTGTACTTTTTAACTATAAGACTGGTGTCTCGCTGGTACAACGCTCGTCGAAAACCCCATAAGTTTACTGCACATCACAAGACACACTTACCGGACGATAGTAAAAAAGTGATCTACCCTTTCACCAACTGAAACTCGTGATGTAAATATAAAATTTTTAGCACATGTGAAATGTCATAGAATATATCCTTATAAAAGGCGCAATGTGTTTTTATTAACTAAACCAAACCCCACACACAAGGATAAATTGTTTTTGTTGTTTCAATAAGTCTTATTCCACACGCCTCAAAAAGAGTGGTGGTTTATCAAAGGTAATAATAATTTTAATAAATTCTTAACACTAGATATACCAGCTATTGAAATATACCTATTAAAAAATAGAAAAAATATATTTGTTACGAACATATATATAAAGTAACATTAAGTTCATAAAATGTATTCTCTACTTATAGCTACAAAAGTCATAACATCATTTCGGAAAGCAAATGTTGTACATGCAGTAGGAATTTTGAATTTGAAATTGCACGACCAGTCAAAATGACCGGTCTGGTAAATCTAGTGTTAGTGATCTCTTTAAACTCCAAAGTGATCTCTTTAAACTCCATGCCGAAATCTTTTTATGTAATGTTGATGCTGGTTTGTTTCACTTTTTCTCTCTCACAAGAATGAAGGTTAACGCAAAACCACATATACATATGTATGTACACCAAGTTCCATTAGCGCTTATTCATGCGAAGTTGCAATTGTGCAAGATATTTTTAGACATTATTAGAGTAACTTCGCGCGAGTAACGTGAATTGAGATCTAGCGTACATGTATGCGTATTGATTTGACATAAGGTATCATCGCGAGAGCACCGTTTTTAAAAGGTACCGGAAAAAAATCCGCCATGATGTGTACATATGACAATCACGTATCTAGTAGTTCCTAATATGTATCAATGAGCATGTAAACTTCGTGATGTAAGAATTACTTTCGCGTGACTATGACACACGCAGAAACAGATGTTCGCTGGAGTAATTAATTCAAATGCGACACACCATGCAATCGTATATATGCGATATCCATATGTACGATCGCGGTTAATAAAAATCGCGGAATAAAACAACAACATATTTCGCTGTATCGAGGAAAAACTATGCAACTTTCCGTCGATTCGCACCTGCAGCAGCAACTGTCACTCGGTTAAAAAAACGGCAGCAAAAGTCAGATGTGCACCAAACCCGAGAGTTTGTAACAGTTTACATTAAACGTCTGCGCGTCTTTCTCCTTGGCGGCGGATGAGTTTTTACACATTTCCCCGTTTCGCTTACCTTCAAATTTTCCAAATTCTCCACCGTGCGATTCTCAGGGACAATCGGACGACGGTATTGAGATTGACATCGTGTCGATGATCTTGTGACAACAGCGGTGATCCTGTCCGTAACAGTCCGTAACACGGGACACGGGATCTTGTCGCATGCACACAAGCCTACGCTCACGACGCGACATCATGACGGCTGTAAAATGGTTAATTTCACGTACATTCACGCGCGTGACCAAATCGGCTGCTATCACGTCAGATAACTATAGATGTACGCGTACCTGAGATTCTCGACTCTCGATTTCAAGATTTGAATCAGGTTTTCATCACGCGCGTATCATACGGTTTAATTTGATCGGCGGATTACTTTGTCGAAGTTGAAAGAGAAAGAGAGAGAGAGAGAGAGATAAAAGAGATCAGTCACATTTAATCAGCCGAACTAAACAATCGGTTAAAGTTTAGTCTGTCGATTAAATTAATTGGAGTTGGTTGGCTCAACTCTATAGATTTTTTCTCTAATTACTATCGACATAAAAAAAACTGGCTTCAGATCAACCAACTTCAGTCAACTCTACCATTTAATCGTTGATCGCGATCGGTCACTTCGGTTAAGTTAATCGATCGATTGCCGTTAACTGATATTGATTTTATTTTGAGATTAAATCAAACTTAAATTTCATCAATATAGAATAGAACAAAGCCGTGGAAAATTGGAGTCCCAGATTAATATTTATTTTGTTTAATATTTATGTTTAAAAAGATAAATTTGTTTTACGTGGAATTTTGATCATTTAAATCTGGCAATTTGAACAGAGATATATGTGATGAAAAGAGTTGACTCTTAAATTCATAAAAAAAACCACTTTCTTTATATATATAATATGTACATAGTAAGTACATATAATTTGTCCAACAAAATTTTACAAGAGGTTATAAAAATAATGTTAAAAAATTAGTTTAAAAACCGGCTTTAATAAAAATTTATTTAAAGCTTATTATGTATATCTATTATAAAAATTACCGTTTAAAAAGGGTAAATAGCATATCGTTCGATATGCTCTTTTTGCTAAAAGAGAGAGATAGAGATAGAGAGAGATAGAGAGAGAGAACTCGCGCCTTATTAAAAAGTTTGTAAAATCAATTGATATAATTCACAATTTGTCAATATATATGTATTCGATGAAATCAGGTTTGTGGTGGTGAAGTGAACTTACTTCGGTTATTGTTTTTTTTTGCAATCTCTCAAAAATCTACAAAGTTTTATCTTTTTTTTCCATAATCAATTGTATATATAAAATAACAATTATGTGTTTTTTGTTCTTGGCTCGCTCACACACGCACACACGTACGTACGTACGTATGTACGCATGCACGCATGTACGTTCAACTGACACAACACCACAACATGCACCACACACACGCGCGCTCGCACACACAACGAAGAAAAAATAAAGTTTATCCAAGAGTTTTCAAAAATGAAAATGTCCGTTGGGACATCATTTATTATTATTATCTAAGATCTGATATAATCGTGCGCTAGTTGTTTTCCTTTTTTTTAATCAGTACGATTTTTGCTCGTTATCTAGGCGATAGCCAAGTATGATACACGTTACATTCAATAAAATTATCGTTCTAGTTTTTTTTTTTNTTTTTTTTTTTTTTTTTTAATATTGACAGCACACTAATCTAAAGTGACATCCTCTGCTCTTACATCTTCTCTTCTTTTCCTTCGCATATGTATAAAAGATACACGGATAAATTTCTCAGTGACGCCGACGGTCTCGTAATTAGAGCAGTTGATTCTTTTATTACCTAGAATTTTTTTATTCGGATTCTTTTACTTTTTCTTTAAGAGAAAAAGAAAACACATCAGCTTTCATCAATGTCGATCAATTTTTATTCGATTTTTTGTTTTTTGAAACTAGAAAAAATTACTATATTTTGATAAAGATATCCATTTTATATATTACCAATCCTTGGAGTAATTTTTTTGTTCAGTTAATAAGAAGTAAGTCCACTAAGTTCCGCTCGCGCTTGCAATTAAATGAAACACAAACTTTTAACAAGAAGGAAAAGCAACGTTAATTTTTTTTGTGAACATATCCGCAATTAAATAACTTAACTTCGTAGGGGAACACACCAAATATCGAAAAAGAGAAATCGAGATGACGAGACGCACATGGATGATAATGAGAAAGAATGATTGAAACTTACATGAAATTAACGCAGTATACAAATAAACGCTTTTTCGTACATCATCTCACATGATACACAAAGCGGTCGAAATTGGATAATCCGATCCGAGAAGCGGTTCAAAACAAGATGTGTGCATCCGGCGCATCGTCGCCGGATTTAACACAGTGGTACATAAGAATACCGTAGGCCAGTCATCATGATAATAATAATGGCATTCCAACAAAACTAACAACTCGTTTCCTCTCTCTTTTTATTTCGCTCATAGACGCGCGCGCGCGCAAAAAAAAAAAAAAAAAAAAAAAAAAAAAACAAGAAATTAACGTGACAATTATACATCTTACAATATAAACAAACGGATTCGTTATCAAAATATCTCTCGCGAGTGATCAACGTGTCAAATCCTACGCGTACTCGCGTGATAACGTGATTCCAACAGATCGCCTCAGAAAATTGCAAAATCTTGCAAAAACGAATTAAGTTTTTCTTTTTGTTTCCCTTACGTTTCCCTTACGTTACACGAGGCCATTAGAAAATTCTCTTGTACTTGATTCACTCTCAGCAAGTAACGATGTCCCAAAAGCGTATCGTTCTCTTTACAATACACTCAATCGTTACGACAAAGAACAGATTGTTTTTTTTTATATAGGAACGTGATTTATTTTATCAAAACTCGCTACGATATCGTGTCCTCCATATACCGTGTCCACATAATAATTATTGTTTGTAAAAATTCAATTCGACGAGATGTGACAAATAAATCCGCACGCAGTATAATAGTTTTTTTTTTCGTCCACGTATATATAATAAGTATATAATCGCCAAAATTATCTTCGTTAATAGATGCGGTATAATACAATTAAAAAAGAGACAGTATAATTAAAAATAGTGTAAAAACGGAGTTATACAAATTCGACGTTATGGATGCACGTTATTACTACTTCGAGTAAATATAAAAATTACAGTGCGCAAAAAACAGCTTTCTTTTTCCCACAGGCCTTTTTCAAAATGTTTTTGTTGCGTCGAAAGGGTCGAACGGTTGAAGAGACTTCGGGGGATTATTTTTGTTTTTGCGTACTTTACACAAGGTATTCTGGGAATGCAAGTAAATCCTCTTCTCTCGACAGACGATTTCGATTCTCGTGATCTATCAACCCCGAAACCTCGACCCTTGATGATGGCAAAACTCGAACTCGCGAGTGTGTTCGCTCGCGAAAGTGTTTCTTTATAAAGTGTTTTTTTGCACTCAAATATGGACTCACTAAGACCTGACAAATGAGAATGCGCGCAACTCGCGCGTAAGATTTAAGGAAGACGCTCCCAGACTGATTTTGATTCAAACGGAAGCTCCAGGTTTCTATGAAATATTACAACTTGAGATGCGGAATTGCCGCGAGGAGACGCACCGCTCCAAAAATTCGCTTTCTTTAGTTATTTTGCTAATTTTTTTAAATAAACACAACATGCATGTTTTTTTAAAAACCGAATTTTTTTTATAAAAATATTTTATGCGTATATGCGTGCGAGTAGCAATAATCGCGCAAAAAAGAAAAATAAATAAATAAATAAAAACTATGATAACTTCAAGATAGCGCCGCATCTGACGCAGCAATTCTCAACAACCTATTTAAGAATTACTCGTACGCTTAACACATTTGTAATTACATTCGCTTATTTCTTCATCCGATATATATATTGTTCAATTCTCTTCGATTAGATTCATCATTGTAGGAGCTGATTGACACAGAGCGAGAAAGGGAGTATAAGTGTACAAAAGTATTCCTGAAAAAAAAAACTCGCACTTGTTAATACAGCGTTTTGCTCGGTAAAAAACCGTTTTTTAGGAAGTATTTGTCGAGTTGCTTTTGATGAGGATGCTTGATAATGCCGCACGCGCTATTTCAAATTTTACCGTCACATCACAGTTTCGATAAAGATAGTGAGATTGTGTAATCAAAATAGACTCTTCCCAAAAATATGCTTCGCGAGAGATCAATTAATAAGAGAGAATTGCGTCAAGAGGAAAGTTCGTATTTTATCGCGATAAAAAAGTACATATACAAACATGTACATGTACATGTATATATACATATATACATATATATATATATATACACACACACATACACATATATATATATTTTTTAAAAACAATATAATATATATATATATATATATATATAGTTTTTAGTTTTTTTATTTTCTTTTTTTGTATCATCGAGTACACGATATTAAGTCGCGATGGTTAATTAAAGCCCTTCTTTGATTTGATTTTGAAAATGTCAGTTTTTAAAAAATGTGTACTGGATATAAAGTGCCCGTTACGTACAGGAGTGATTAAGAATTTTTCTCGATTCTCCATAACGCGATAAAACCGCGAGAAACACGTATTTCGAAAGATCACCTTGAATATATGAATAAATAGAATATATGAATAAATGTACTGTATGACGATACCGCAACTTGTATTTTACGAGACAATGCAAAGATGCGATTGTGTCAAATATACGAAAGACACTTTATTGTCACCCTATATACGTTATTATTCTAAAGTCGTTAAAATGATATTTGTGAAAAAGTGAGCATACACCGAATGAATGAGACACGGAACTGAGGCTTTTTTTTTTTAGTTATACAGAAATACACGCAAAGTATTCTTGTTCATTAGCATTCAGCTGATTCATTCAGGAAAGGCGCGTTAAAGAAAGAATTATAAATTAATTTGATTTTTGTTCAATGTACAATCATTCAAAATCGCGTGATGATTGTAACAATACTCTCTTTACGTTTCTCAAGCGTTGACTCGTTTATATACATATATATAAATACGGAATACTGAAAATAACATTCTTGCTTTAACATAGAAAAACTATCTATTTAGGATTGGGTTCTTTCTAAAAATGACAGAATGTCAAGAAACAGATTCACAGATATGTGCTGCTTCTTAGCAAAATATCATTTATATCGAAGATTATCTTTATTCTCTTTTACATCTCTCTTCGTTATTATATAATGAAAACGGAAGATTCGTCGATTAGGATTTATCGGTTGATTTTACTCGGAAAATGGATTTCTTCATGGACTTCACACAATAGAAGGAGAGAACGAAACGTGCTGATCCGATATTTAAAAACTCAAGATGCTGCGCGTTACGTGCCGAGCTATAAAGTTATTATTTTAACTTAAATATGTAGGTCTAATCTGTGACTCGTTGATTCAAGTTTCTCGAATACACGTATCATCTCATTTTTTTTTTATACTTGTTATAGCTTATCTCAGCGCTATATTGTAAAAAACTATTTGCCGTTTGTTTCACACTCAAATAAAATGTAAACGTAATGGTGATGTGACGCGTTGCAACTGTCGAGTCACAACTTAGACGAATTCTATTCTAATCTCAACCGTGAGAGACCGTAAACGAGAATAGGAAAAATTCAGCTGAGTTTTGTTTTTACTCTAATCAAAAAAAAATACTGTAACAGGTATGTTATTTAATTATGTAAAAGTAAAATTATATATTGCATACCTTTATTTTATAAGTTAATCAATAAAAAACAGAGAATTATTCTCTGATTTTTGAATATATATGAAAAACAAAAAAAAAAAGACAAAATGACAATCGATTTTGACTGACATGTCTCGTAATACTTTGCGCGCGAATGGATATATAATATAAACAAATTCAGATGAAGGATCAATTTCGGACACCCTCCGAAAAAACTGTATTTTCTTGCTTTTTCCACACATTCCTCTTCTATATTATAAATTATCTTTCTAAAGTCACACAAGAAGAAGAGACAAATAACTTGTTTAACGAATAATAAGATTCGGAAACAGAAGTACGCAAATAATTAAAAAATAACTAATAATAATAGAAAATCGTACGCGTGATTTATCGGTGTTTCTCGTGAGAGGGTATCCAAATCATATTCGAAAAGCGATGTATAATAATTATATACTTATGATTATATTTCTATATGTGCAGATACTCGTATATGCACATATTCATACATCATGCATACGTACTCGTATATGCACATATACGTCATTACAGCACGCAAGTTCTTCAATCATGATGGTATGAAGCTATCAAATGTACAATCTAATCATATATGGGTGATTCTTTCTTTTTTGATACTTAAAAGTAGCGACGGTGCGGAATCGCTTTAACAAGTGAGATTATAAAAATTAATGTATATTTTATATAATATATATATATATATATATATATTATATATATAATTCTAGTTTCTTTCTGCGCTATAGTTTACAAACTAGCAACTATTTATCAACTAACATATCTATGTACTCGCGACATCTTAAAAATTATAAAATGGATTAGTTTTCTTTTTTCCCCGTCGATATCCACTTATTATTGCAGCTTCAACGAGTTTTAAGTGTCGCGCGCTACTGTTTTTTCATCACCGCCGTTTTTTTTATTCATGGTCGTTGTCAACATTTCGGTAATTGCGATGCTTTTCCTTATCCCGAATGACTGGACGGAAGAAAGCTCGCACAAATCGCGATGTCGTTCCGTGCCACGTTATTCCGCAAAATACGCAAGGCGCCATTCAAAAATTCTTGCGTTTTAGGTTGAGTGTTATCTTCCTCTTGAAAATCATACGAAGACTTCAGTGACAATCTTAAATATAAAATTAAACTATATTGTGAAAATCAGAAGGGCCGAGGTTCGAGCGTTGCATATGAACATAATTTGTTCTTTCTTCTTTTGCTTGTCCTTGTCACTTATATTTCAAAATTCGCTGGAAAAAAAACAAAAGAAAAAAACTCCACGATACCTCATACCTACGCTTCTTATGTTGCCGTAATAAACGCTGCCGCAATTGCGCTTATTACAATCGTTCTCAGTACACTCGATCTATCGCAGAATTAATGTCGTAACTATTGCACAACGCCGTTCATGAAGTGTCATGAAATGCTGGCAAGACGTTCGTTTAATTTCGTGTTCTTACGCTCTTCTTTGTGAAATTTGCCAGTATCAACGATCATTACGCAATATTCAAGAAAGAATTATACATGCAAACACATTTCCTTGTATTTCTTTTGAAAAAAAAAAGAAAAAAAGAAAAAAAAAAAAAAAAAAAAAAAAAAAAAAAAAAAAAAAAAAAAAGAAATGTATAATGCGCACACAAAATAATGCTGTGCAATATAATTTTATTCCCTCTCGTCTTTTGGATATTGAAATTAAAGACAAATGTATTTCAATTACAGGTTTTTTTTGCAAAAAGATTTCGTTGATTTTTTGGCGATCTTTTCGAAACGTCCAATTATATCTTATACGGAACCGAATTCTTCCAAGAACATAATTCACAAAACTGTTTCCTCACTCGCGCAACGTCACAAAGTGTCTTTCCGACTATCTTTTATTTCTTTTGTTTCCCTTAAATTTTTATGCATATCTAAATTCAAACTACCGACAGTCCAAGTAATAATTCATTCACAGCATCCGAGCGGTCGCACGCGAAAAAAAAAGAGATGCAACTCTCTCTCGGGTCACTTTACGTCGGATTCTCACTTGGCTCTCATCAGAGTGTGAGTCTTTTTATCATTCCTTATATCATACATCCATCCGTGAATCCCGCTTTTCATTGTAAATATTTGTTTGTTTGTTTGTTTTTTTTTTTAAAGGTTAAAAAAAGTTAACCTCTTTACCAGTTTCTGAAAGGTATTCTCTAGCTGAATCATTTAGGCTCTGGGAAGGCCACCTGACACTTGTAGACTTCGTCAAGCATTACTTGGCCTTGTCCCTGGCTAACGGTCACAGGAGTAGTCGCGTTCACAACCACGACCTGACCCTGTTGCGCCTGTTGCGGCTGCTGCTGCTGCTGCTGCGGCTGCGGTTGACTGCTCGCGTTGGCTTGCTGTGCGTTAGCTGGATTGTTTGCGTTCTGACTCCGTGCTGTCTGACCGTACTTCTCGTGAATCGCACGGTGACGCTTGAGCGCAAAACGATCGGAGAAACCGATCTCGCATATATCACATCTAAAACAAAGTATCAAGAGAATATTTTATACACGGAAAAAATAAAATACAATTTGAATAATAATCGAATCGTTCTGCGAACACGCGAAAATTACCTGTGTGGCTTTTCACCGGTATGAACTTTCGCATGATTCTTGAGATGCGTAGCTTGATTGAAAGCCGAACCGCAGATATTACATCTGTACGGTTTCTCGCCGGTGTGAATTCTTCTGTGATTCCACAACGTTGAGTGTCTCGCGAAAGTTTTCTCGCAGACCTCGCACTGATAAGGTCGTTCGCCGGAATGGATGCGCTCGTGATTTTTTAAGTGCGGACTTTGCGAAAACTGCATACCGCAAACACTACACTTAAAGGGTTTCTCGCCGGTATGGACTCGTCCATGATTTTTCAAATAGGCGGCTGCAAAAAGGCAACACAAATTTATCTATCTTTATGATAATTACAGTACAGCAATATATAAAGAGAGGATTTTATATTCGAGAAGCAAAACGTTCTAAAACTAATTTTCGAAATCACCTCAATTTGGTAAAAAGATCTGTAATTGCAATCTGTAATCTGTATTCTTACAAAAAATTGCCCAACTACTTCTCTGTGTCTTATGACTTTATTCTAAGTTGTTATAGTCTTATTTGATGTGGTTAAAAAAATTTAACTATTGTTTTCTACCAAATTTTTCTTTACATATTATCACTTATTTTTTGTACTTACCTTTCGCGAATGCCAAGCCGCAAACTTCGCATTTGAATGGCTTATCTCCCGAATGAAGTCTTTTGTGGGACCAGAGAGACGAATATCGAGAAAACGTGCCGTCACATACATTACAATGAAATGGCTTTTCCGTCTGATTCTGACTGTTTTGCTTGCCACCTGAAATTAAAAGTATAACCAAGACTTTAGTTTTCCTCAAAGGGCCAGTTCTACAAAGCTCGAAGTTGATTCATGAAGAATCCAAAAACCCAGTATGAGTTTATGGACATTTTCTTTTTTTTTTTTGATATACATACCAGAAATGAAAATAACGAATATACAAAATTACAAAATTAAATAATAAAAACGATTAAGAAATGTGGTGATAATATATTATTATTATATGAAACAATTTGATCATGCAGATTACAAAATTTAGTGCACTATGAGAAAATTTTAACGTCACAAGAGCAATATGAATATCTGCAGCTTTGTTTTTATCACAAATTTATTTTGTGAAAAAATGATGAAATCATCAATCAACAATAAGTTATATTGCAAAATGAAGTAAAAAAACCGTAATCACAGTTTAAAAATGAAAAGTTAACAATAATTCATCTCATATAAGAAAGAACTTTCGAAATTTCATAATTTAAATTTATAAAACTGTCCCTTAGGGGAGATTTTATTCTGTGCCATCATCCTTAAATTTAAATGTCGACAGTTCTACTAAAAAAGAAAAAAAAAATGAAAAAAAAAACAAAAAAAAAAACAAAAAACAGCAAACTAAAAATTATCACAATCAGTTTAACAAAAAAAAAATCTGGCATAGCAAAAAATATTACATAAGAGAGAAGAAAAACAAAAATAATGAAAGAATGTATTTCGTCTACAAAAATACATGCAAACAAAAAAAATGTAATAAGAATCAATTATATTAAATATATAAGAATGAGTAACATCTCTCTTTCAAACTTGAATTTCCGAAAATTTGTGTTTAAATTAATCTTTTTTAAGTTTCGAGGTTACATTCAAAATACACTTAGTAAAACTTTATAAATCTACAAATTTTTTCTCTCTCTTGAATATTTCTGTACCAAGAAAATTCAATATTTTTTGAAGTTACAAAAAAATGTCACTTTGTTACGTCGCGATTTAAGCAACAATTAAAAAATCATACAAATGCCGAACACATCGCAAAAGGAGAAAAGACTTTTGAACTGTTCAATTCATTAATGCGATATTACTCAGATAATACTAATCGCAAAACAGATCTCATATTGTGACGGTAATTATATCCGACTTACTTCCTATGATGATGCGGCCTGTAGCCTTGCAGCCGCCACATTTTGCAAGGGAACTGATTCCGGAATCTAGTTTTTCGTCGTGTTTACCTACCATACATCACCCGATGTACGATCATGATAGTAATGAAACGTATGAGAGATGGGATGATTGACAAAATGTGAACAAAATGCTGCTGATACTTCATGCAAATCAAGTTCTAACTGTATCAGTACTAACTGTATATCGATACATCCAAAAGATAAGGACGGAAATACAAAGCTTTGGAATTTCAAAAGAAGAAATAGTACAGTTTGTTTTATCAGCAACATCTTTCTTTGGCCCATCAGTGGTATCAAGTGACATCCAATCAGTGATAAAAAAAAAACAAAAACCGATAATGCTCACCAATAAAAATTATTCCCGTGCCGTTGCATTTATGACATTTGGTGACGCTAGTGACACCCCTCCGTTTCACAGGATGATGACCAGGTTTAATGGCTGCGCAAACGAATGAATATCACATCTTCATTATGTTAAATAAGTTTGAAATTATCACAGCGATAACGATTACATAAGCATATGTATGTATATACATACACACGTTACTAATCAAATTCTTTACTTTTATATTGAAATTAAATGACCGTGAGACAAATACTTAAAAATTACTAAAATTAATTGATAGAAAGACATACTCTTTTTAACTTTAGTCGGATGATGTTCGCAAGGGTCTTCACTGCCACAATCCTCACAGATTTGCACCTTAGGTTTTTGATGCATATTGGTCTTGTGACTCTTCAGTTCCCCCGGTAATGCGAAACAAGCGCCACAAACGTCACAGGTATACGGCCTTTCCGGTGTGGTAGCAACGGTTACAGTTGTCGGCGTTTGCACCACAATCTGTTGCGGCTGTTGCTGCAGATTGCTGGGCGTTGTACTATGAATCCGCTTGTGATGCTGAAGCAGACTGACGTGGCCGAACACCAGACCGCAAATGTCGCACTTGAAGGTCGCATTGGTGGCAGCAGCGATGCTCATCTGATTCAGTAATGTATTATAACCGACAGGTTGCACATCGAAACGGTAACAACCCTTGTCATCGGTGATCGCACTAATTGTGCTCACCGCATTTGTCTGTACTTTCTGCAACATGTTGACGTTGTAGTAGAAAGAAGAGGGGAACTCAGCAGTGGTGGACTGTTGCTGCTGCTGAGACTTGTCCTCCTTCTTGTCTGATGTAACGTACATCTGCTGGGTCTGCTGTTGTTGGGATTGCTGTCCCTGAGCAGCAGCCTGCTGCTGTTGGATCTGTTGCGGATCAAACATTGCTGGTTGCTACAGAACAAAAACACACCAGTTTACAGTGAGATAAAAGTGAATGTTCCTTCTGTTTCATATATTACTTGGTAGATATAAAAAAAAATTAAAAAAAAAGAAAAAAAACCAACCTTTATAATAAATAGACCAACCTGTCTCTGGTCACCGTAACTTGAATTACTCTGCTCCGTTTGGGTGAAACTATTAGTTTGCTCCGTTTGAGTAAACATGGAACACTTCAATGGCTGTTCAATTGGTTGACTCTGTTGGTTACAAAGTTTCATTAGACATACCACTATGAAAACTAATACACAAAAAAAAAGGAATTACAAATTTAACTGTTATATTTCGCAGACTATTCTCATTGTGAATCACAAACTAAATTGTTCTAAAATGAGACCACAAGGTCATTATTCACGCTCCCTCGTTTTGACATCGAGTTGCTTTATCGTTACGCGACGCATACCTGCTGTATTTGATCAGGACGGGTTGTGTTCAACCACACCACGTTGTTGCCATTTGATTCTAGGGCCATTGATGTATTGCCTTTGACCCTGCACAATCAAATAGGCGTGCGTTATGTAAAAGACTACCGGCTTGATATATATGTGAATGTAAGTATGCAAAAATTATGCGAGAAGCAAGGAAAACATTTTACTACAAAAACGACGGAGGACAAACCCCCTGATCAAAAAGCTACGCCGAGAATGAGGGAGGGACGCGCGATCAACAGGACAAGTAGATGCGATGCGAGATTAGACGACCAGTTTTAAACAACAATCGTCTCGCGCAGTTTGTTCGAACTTTTGTCTTGGTTTAGTCGGCGCGAAAAACACGCGCCGACGGAAGTATAAACATACTCACGTGTGATAAGTCCGACAAGCCGCGGGGTTACAAATCCGGCTGCCGTGCGGTAACCGACAATCCTCTAGCTGCCATGACGATGATGATGACGGCGATGATGATAACGATGACGAAAACGGTGATGGTGATGATGATGATGATTATAACGCTGATGACGACGATGATGATGGTAACGACGACGACGACGACGACGACGAAGACGATCGAGTGACGCGCGAGATAGATTTTTATTACATGGACGATTTCTTAGAAAATCGCGGCTAACATGCCAAATCCATTCCTCGGTAAGTTTGCGCGCACACACAGTTAACGTGCAGCACGTCGTCGTCCAGCATCCGCGTACGACATGCAGGCGGAGAGGGGGCGCGTGACTCTTCCCCTTGTTTTGTGTCGCGCGCGACGCTCTCGTCGTTGCGAAGCGCGAATCGGGCCGTGGTCGCGAGAAATCAATGGCGTTCGATTTCGACGGACGCTTCCCTCCCGACGCGCGATCTCGGCGGTGTTTATTGAAAAATCAGCTATGCGCAATAGTTTTTTCCTCGCTCTCTTTTGCCACGCTTCGTTCACTCGCGCGGAGCCACCTTGACTCTTCGTACTGGCTCGCGTTTCGCTCGACGCACGCTTCGCGCCGTGTTTTAGCACGCGGTCCAAGCGCCACAGCGGACAGTGCGGTTCGTTAATATCGCTCTCTTGAGCTCGTGTCGCACACGTTTGTCAACGGGGCCCGCGCTGGCCCGCGCAAATCATGGTTGACCGCGTAGAAAGCGGCGCGGTTGCGGCGGCGGCGGCGGCGGCTGGTTGAATATGAAGAAGCGCGCGGTCGCCGCTCCTCTTCTTCGTGCACGTCGCTTTCTCTCTGTCGCTCTCGCCCGTTCTCCCTCCGTCCCACTTCACCACTGGACGCACGTTCTCTCTCGCTCTCTGTCCGCCTTAACGGCGGCGGCGGCGGACACAAAATTGCCGACGCGGTTTGCCCCAACGTTCCGGGTACAAAGCTCGGTCACTTATCTTCGATACGGGCTAAGCCGGGACGCGATGTCGGTCGACGCGTAGACGAACCTTCGCAGTGGCCATTACATGCAACGAATACAACAATGGGCGACACGGTACGCGCGCTGCCCCCTGATACTGCCTCTTTCCGAAGCGTTTACGGGCGCCTACCGTGAATCCAGACGCCTGCTGTCCGTCAAGGTCACTGCGCGGTGACGTCGGCGCAGCCGTGAATGCACGCGCTGATTGGCGCGCGGGCGTTTCGCGCGCGAAGTGCATTCGTAAAGCCCTGTATTCACGAGTCAGAGGCTTGGACAGTTTCAGTTCTCGAGGAATCGATCACTCGCGTCGGTCGATACGGCCGATCGACCGACGCGATTGCTCGACTGAGAGCGAGATATTGGGTGCGTTCAGACAACTCAACGGTTGAGAGATCATCACTTATGATAGGACTATTCTTCAAAATCTGCATCGGTTCCAAAAGTATGATCCAATCAGAAGTGATTATCTCTCAACCGTTGTGCAACTGTTGAGTTGTCTGAACGCACCCATTTTTTAGGCTTGTTCTACAATACAGTCGTAAGAATAGACGTATAAAGCCTATGTCACACTACGAATTAGGATTGAGATTAGATTGCAATTGGGGACATGGACCATAGGTGCGTTCAGACAACTCAACGGTTGAGAAAAAAATCACTTCTGATTGGATCATACTTTTGGAACCGCATCAGATTTTGAAGAATAGTCCTATCATAAGTGACGATCTCTCAACCGTTGAGTTGTCTAAACGCACCCCATGTTCAGCAAACTGAGCAGATCAGTGGTCTAGTTTCCACCGAAACCCTCAATTCGGTTTCACTCCGGTACGGATTAAATTTAGTGTTCCGTTTCCAGTGGAAGTAGAGTACTTATAGATCAAAGCGGAAGCGAAATCAGCACAATTTGACAGGTTTCCATCGACTTAAATTTGATTCTACGTCGCATTAGGTGTGAATTAATGCTTCGGTGGAAACTAGACCAGTGAGCGCTTAGTGATTCTTCAATATGATTGGTTTCTACACTTAGATCCAGATAAGATCTAAAGGCAAGATTCAATCATATTAAAGAATCACTAAGCGATCACTGATCTGCTCAGTCAGCTGAACGTGGCCAATCAGAGCGAAGATCACAAACTTAGAATTGGTTTTCTTTCTTCTGATTGGTCAAATTTCAATCCAATCTCAATCTCAATCCGTAGTGTGACTTAAGGCCATTCTACATTGTAAGGTTTAGTCGTTTAACGCGTGGTAAGATGGCGCTCTTTCTGACACCTATGTGCAATGTGGCGGGTGACGTCCATTTGACCACGGTACAATTGGACACAGTACGATTGCACACGTAATATTGGACACGGTACGATTGACCACAGTACGATTGACCACGGTACGATTGACCACCGTACGATTAACCACATTCTATTTGACGCGAAGAATTTAAGACCGTACGATTGACCACGGTACGATTGACCACCGTACGATTGAC